AAGTTTCATAAAACAATACACTGATATTTTCTAGTCTATGATTCTATTTCACTTTTTTAATGCCTGTTCTGAGTTGCCTGGTTAGCTAAGTTGGTTACAGCATGGTATTGATAACACCAAGGTTCAGGGTTTGATCCCTGTACTGCCCAGCTGCCAAAAATAATAAATAAAATGCTAATTGTATACAACTAAACTGGTTTCAAGACAAATACATCATGTACACAACATAACACTGGGTTAGAGGGCTAATAAAAACATAAACTATCACCAGTTCAGACTTGCTCACCAGGACTGAAAAGAGAATGTTCTCATTGTGTGGTTCAATGCCTATGTACATGAGGTATATACGTCATAATTTGGGAGAAAGCCTGGCCTAGATTTATTTTAAACCTAGAACATGTCTTATGTATATAGTAAGCTCTTGAGAACAGGGAACTGCAGATGACAATGAGACTTAAGCATAATCACAGACACCACTTAAAAGTATCTCAACACTTTTATTTAGGTCTAATCTCATATCTATAGCATTTCTTCAAATTTACTTTGAAAAAAACACCTAACAGTGTGTGGTTTTTACACACATTCTTCTACCCAACCATGGACCTCTTTCTTCCTCTCAAGCGTACTTCATCTAATTTTTTTAGCACTGGTCTGGCTTTTTTGGAGGAGGTGGAGTAGCTCTTCAAAAAGGCTTCAAACACAGTCTCAGTGTTGGGATGGGTACTGAGGAAGGCTTTCTCCAGAACGTAGAGGTCTACTCCCTTATCTTCTGGAAGTGCTGAAACGAAACTCAGCCCAAAGTCTATGAGTACGATGTTCAGCTGTTGCAGGGGGGGTTTCAGTAGCATGTTGGAGGTGGTGAGATCACCATGAATGAGGTCTTCATCGTGCATTCGAGCCAACACATGCCCAATTGTCTTGGCTAAGCTGAAGAGGCTTTGGGGAGTTTTTTCAGCCTCCATAGTGGATTGAATATAATCCCGAACAGTCACTGAGCCTTCAATTTCTTCCATATATAAGCAGTTGGAAGCATAGTCCACAAAAAAGACAACTGGGGCAGATATCCCTGCAATCAAGACATATGTGGTTATTGGGTTGGATTCCTTTTTTTAAAATGATAAGCTTAGCTTCCAAAGACTGAGCCAGTTTTTCAGTCTACATTTACTTAATTCAGGAAAAAGACTTAGAAATGCTGCAGACAACGGTACAACTTAACTCATCAGCAAGTTTCGCTTGCTCGTGCCCTGCAAGACTATTCCTGAGACATCCCACAGCTAAGTGTAGGAGTGCCAAAGCTTCCTCCTCCTTTCCCAAACCACCCTTTATGACTGGACTTCATTTGTCATACTTAGTCCCTAAAAAACAAAACAAAGAGCCAGAAGGAGGAGCACAGTCAGTAAGAGCAGTTTCTACCTGACAAGGACCAAACAGGAGGCCAAGTAATGTGATGGTTTAGAGATTCATCTTTGTAGTCAGAAAGAATGGAGTTCAAATCTTGGCTCCCTTCCTTATTAGTTGTGTAACCTTAAAGTTAAATTAACTTCTCCAAGCATTCAGCTTCTGCTACTATAATGAGAGAACAATACCTCCAATCAACTCAGTCAATGAATCTTTACTGAATGTGAACCATGCTCAGGACACTTTTCTAGAAACTGAAGACTTTTCAATGGGGATGCGGCAGTAAACAAGGCAGCCACGATCCCTGCTTAATGGAACTTATATCATAGAGAGGGTAAAGACAGAAAATATGAACAAACAAATAACTTCATCAAGTCTCTGCAAGGGCAGCAATGTGTCTGTTTGTTAGTTAGAAATCTTCCCTCAGATTTCCCAGCACCTAAAAATGTCCTAGTGCATAGTCCCTGCCTAAAAATGAGACAGTCAAGAAGTGTGAAAACAAAAAGCCTGTCCTTCTGAGTCAGAGGGATACAGGCTGAGGCCCTGGCTGGGCTACTTACTAGCTGTGTGACAACTAAAAAATCTGCTCTGACCAAGTCTGCTAAAGTGTAGTGCCTTGGGAAATCTAAGATAAGTCAGTAGTCACATCCATGTGTCCTTGAAAACGTTATCATAAGACCATTTCCAGACATACAGGCACAGAAAAAATAACAAAATACCCTAGAATGCTTCTTGTAATCCTTACCCTAGATTCCTGCATGTAGGATGTAAACTAGTAACAATTCAAAATTTGTAAATATGTCCTAGCCAACAGAAAAACTGATGTAACAAAGGGGGGTGGGAGGGGAGGTTGTCCTCTTCTCTATCTCTTTTGATTCTCCCCCTTTCTTGTGATTACAAAATGCTAAGCTCTTCTGGTCCCCTTCGGAGAACATCTCTCAGGGTGATGTGATCTATGCGTTTCCCCAGTTGCAACCATCATATTGGTACAACAAACCCTATGCTTTATATGTTTTGGCATCAGTTTCTTTTTAGTTCAACATGTGCAACCTTGGGCAAGTTACTTCCCCTCTCTGAGATTCACCTTCTTCTCACCTGAGGAAAAGGTTTATGGTGATGGTGCACAATACCGTTTTAATGCAAAAATAAACGATTTAATGAAATCTAACATTTATTCACTACTATGTGCCAGGCATACATTCAAACATATTATGTGGCATACAGGCCTCGTCTAATGTTAATAACATCCCTTCGAGATGGATATTGCTACTATGACTGACGTTTTACAGGTGAGGAAACTGAAGCTGAGAAGTTAAATAACCTGTTGAAAGCTGTTAGTATTTGAACCCAGGGACCCTGGCTTCAGGGCAAGTACACCTGCTTCTTAAAACTAATGACAAAAAAGATAATGATCGAAAACTGAAACGGGACAAAAGTGGAAACCAAGGCTCAAGGAGGTTAAGTAACATGATCAACGTTGAGCAGTAGAGATCTGAACCAGGTGGAATAGCTCGAGGGCAAATACCAGTCGCTGCAAAGCCACGTGGCTTCTTAAGATTTAATGAATTAAGAGATGAAAATATAATATTTGCTAACGGAAAAACCGAGGCAAATCGAGGCACGCAGCGCTGGAGAGTCCCTCACCCGCCGGCGCCCTGGCCCCGGAGCCGAGTTCACCTCACCTGCTCGGCGGCAGCGCAGCAGCGCCCGGGCCTCCTGCACCGTCCGCCGCCGGCCCAGCCGCGCCTCCAGCGCC